TAGTAATATTTCAAACAAAATTTCTTGTGTTATAGTAATAGATCTTCTTTGATAAATTGGGTTATGTTATCTGTAACTCTAGTCACACAAATGTAGATTATATACTAGAAGGTTCTGAAAATATTCATGTAATATCTAAATTGCAAAAAAGAATACAAACTGGTATAAGTGGTGCAAATCTATGATAAGACCTTTGAACCATATAAAACTGATAGAGAGAACTTGAAAATCTGAAACCAGCTTGGAAAGTCCTAAACAAAGAAAGTAGTAAGGATACAACAATGCTACAAAAACAGAATTGAACCAAATTGAAAAACTGGTAAAACTGAATGACATGAACTCTCTAGATTCAGGATTTTACCAATCTAGCTACCAAAGTTGCACTGGAGGAAAAGAATACACACTCTGGAAGCATGTACCAAGAGGAAAAAAACTACAAGACACCTAAAACACAGGCAGGCCAACTCTACTGGGCCAACTAAATTGAAAGTTTGGTGAAACTGAAAATATGGGTTGAAAAAAGGAAGTAATTATAAGTATCTGATTCAAGAATAAAGAACCTTGTAAGGGTTAAGCAGTTTAATTAATTATGAGAAGTTAGAAAACTGCAATTTCTTTAGAATCTTACACCACAGGATTATAGACCTGGGACATCAAATAACAGACTTAATAGTATGGTCAGACTGCAAGTGTGAGCCTCAGTGACTGCAAAAAAGAGACATAATTGGTCAATTATGAGATATTATTAACTTGTCATAGTTGGTTTTATTTTAATCTAATAAAATTCACAGAAATTATTATTATAAATATCTTTTTATTCAAGTTGATTTAGTGAGAATAACTATCTATCAGAACATTTACAATAAAATACTCAGCTTATAGCACTTATCTTTTCCTAATATCTCTCATTTATGTCTAATTTGCATAAATATGTGAGTATAAGATTATTAATTTGAGCATTTGATAGTTAGTTAAATTATAAAGCATGAGAAAATAACAACGTAGTATCACAGAGTTTACCAAAATACGTGTACTACTTTGACTTTCCTATTGGTCTTTATTTGCTTGGCTTTTTATTTACGATGACTGGAGTATTGTACAGGTACTTCACTGATAATATATTCACACAGATAGCACAGTTTATTCACTAAGAATCAAAGCTAGGTATTTCCCCTATTTGGATCAATACCTTATATATTGATACTAATTGCTAATGATTACTACATTGTTTATGCAATACTAATTGCTAATGATTACTGTTCATGCAATCACTATTTAGACTTTTAATTAAATTGTATTATGCATTAATTAGATCACCAATCAACACGTACCCGATCACTAGTCACATGGATACTGCTATCCAACGAAACGACTCTAGCATCACCATAAAAAAATGGTAGCCAGACAAAATTTGCCGGGCTACACATAATTTCAGATGCATAAATATAATACGTATCTATGATGTCAATCATAATAACTGAATAATGATGGTATATATGCTAAATATGAAATCATTCATATTTGCACTGGCTTCTTTCTTCATTTTGAAGTTTTTTTCTGGTTCAAAAATTATGCTGTGCTTTATATAATGTAAATTGAAAAATCTCTTACACTGTCTTTTTTTTTTATAACGTTCTTATTTTTATTTTTTTTAATAAATTGAACAAAGAACGATTATAAAAACTTTCAGTATGTCAAACCAACAAGTTAAAGAATATATAGGATGTCATTCTAAACAAAGTTATGATGAATTCTTAAATGAAAAAGGAGATCTAGTAAAAAAGTGTTTACAGTGTCGAAGCAGAATTAAACTTTCACGTTCAAAAAATAAAGAACCTACTATGATAATTAGTCATTTTGACATTACCGAAACAATATACAATTCTTTAACTTCTTTAAATAATACTGATGAGTTCTACGAAAACAAAAATGAAGGATTGGAGTTGGAATTTGATATTGAATTGCCATCTTTTCTTGATGCAATCTCAGATAAAGAATTTCAAAAAGAAAACATTGATTTCAAAATTAGTCATCATATAATTACTCTTATTTCAGAAGGAGATGGTTACTCATGGGTTTATCATATCAAAAATCAAAAAAAATTCTCTCCTTGTAACTTATTATTGTAATTGTCACATTGAACTCGGAAAATGGCAAGCTAAACATCCTGATTTAAATAAACAAAGGGATACACTTCCTTATTTGGAATGATACTATTGTGAAGGAATAATAAGTATAGAAATTTTATCAAAATTGGATTTAATTAAAGTTTGTTATTCTCATAAAATATTACATCCATGACCAAGACATGTTGCAACAACATTTGAAATTAAAACCTTTATTAAAAATAATATTGAATTTTCTGTACCTGAAATCTGGCATCAAATTCAAGAAAATTGTATTAATGGATATGAAAATTTAACAGTTCAACAAACTTACTATTGGTGGTCTATCGAATCTCATAAAAGATATTGTCAAGATTCAGATCCCTTATTTTCAGCTAAGCATTTGTTAGAAGAATTTAACCAAGAAATTATCATAGATAATCTTAATTCTTCTACTCCAGCACTTGGTTTTTTAACATTTTTATTTAATATATTACTTAATGATGCAATCACATTTGATGCAACATATGGTACGAATAGTTTGGCTTGTGAACTATACTCTGTTATAGGTATAATTGATGGCACTGGGTTCCCTCTTAGCTACCTTCTTATTACAGCTGGAAGACATCGAAATATAACAGAAATTCTTTTTTAGTGGATACAAGCTTTGAAAGAACGTCATTTAAAAAATTTTTCTTTTATTCTTATGGACAAAGACTTTTCTGAAATTAATGCAGCACAAGCTGTATAGCCTGAAGCTCATTTGCAATTATGTATTTGGCACGTACGATGGGCAATTAAACATCGGTTAGCATCTAACAAAAAAAAAACTTACTATTCTTATAATCCAAAAAGTGCATATGAGACATGTCCTACAATAGATCCTAATTGAGGAATTACAAATAATTCAAATTCTATATTTTGCCCTTTGAAATTGCGAAAAACTGTAATGGAACTTATAGAAAACCATTCAACCCGTCACATACTATTGCCAAAATCTGATGGCACTTTTATTACAAGTTCAAATAAAATCTAGAAAGAATGTGTTGGTGAAATGATGCAATTCTGCAAAGATAATAATTTACTTCAACTGTGGATTTATTTTTAGAAAGAATGGTATTCTAAAGATAAGTGGAATTTATGGGCATGGGCAGCTAATGAAAATATTAGCTATATTAAAACTACCATGACAGTAGAATTGCATTGGCGGCAAATTAAGCACGATTACCTGTACAAGTTTTATAAACCAAGAGTCGATCATTTATGTTATATCCTTATAAAGAAAGTTATTAATCAGCATTTATATCGAATTCAATTACTAGAACAAGGTTGCTACTTGGTACCATGGCGTAAGGAGTTCAAAAAGGAATGGAAGCTACTTGAAAAAAAAAAAATACAAGAAAATAACAAGTATTTTACTGATCCGGCTAAATGGATATGTGCATGTCCTGCATATATTCATAGCCGATTCTTTTTATGTAAACATTTGATTAATTTAGTAGAAAAAGCAGATCCAATTTTTTTTAAGAAAGTAAGAAATTTTAAAAATGTAAATATATACGTAATACTTCAATATGTATTTATTTTTTTTTTTACATATATATCTAGGTACAATAAAATGGAAATTATCCGTTAATTTCCTCTTATAATGGTGAATTAGTGAATGTGTTCCGTTTGGAAAATTCTGTAAATTGCCAACCTTTAAACATTTTATCAATTCAAGAAGAATTGATTATTAGACATGAAGATAGCAGTGATGGAGAAGAAAACAATTTCGAGGCAGACTTGGACTATTTGTGTGAAATATTAGACAAGGTATTTATAATAAAATCATATAATACTGACAGTATTTATATTATTTATTAATATCTAATTATTCTACAGACTAAAACACTTTTAGAAGAATCACGCAACAAACCTAAAGGATATTTATGGTTAAAGAATATTCGATCGAATTTCAATCAGTTAGAAAAAATGAATAATGATATTGCAGTATTAAATAATCGTAGAACAATGCCAAAAACTTGGAAGGATTTTAACAAAAAAACGATGTATAGGGTATAGAAGTTACTTTTTTAAAATTTAAATCTTTTAATATAAATTTGTAGAAAAAAAAAAAAAAAAAGTATGTACGAAGTATTATAGAAATATACGGTATTTTAAGTGGCATTTGAGTGGCTATATAGATTTTCAAGAACGACCTTGGGTTATGGCAATATATCAATAATTCGTATGAAGAGAAGATATTTGAAAAGCATTTAATCGATAATTCTGTATCCAATATAGGCTTATACAATAAACAAAGAATAAATTCGTAGAAAAAAAAAATCGCTCTATTCATTTTTCCAAGTTATTTAATGCATCCGAAATTATGTGTAACCCGGCAAATTTTGTCCGGCTACCATTTTTTTATGGTGATGCTAGGGTCGTTTATCCAACGATTACACGGGGTATTGAGAAAAACCGCGACACGTAGCATACATATTATGCGACACTATGATTTTTCATTCGTTTATGGAATGAATTTCATAAGATATCTCTGTTACAATTGACTTCTTTTTACAGTATAATGAATTGATGATTTGGTAAATATATATATATATATATATATTAGAATTAATTTATTTGTAGCCATAGGCTACATGTAGCCGTACTATTAAAATAGTTTTTTTATACGTAGAAAAATTTTGCAGCCATATTAACATTAGGGTTAGGGTTTGGAGTTAGAGTATGGTAAAATTGCGAGAGGAGCATTTTTACTTAGTTACAGAACAGGGGTTGCCCTAGTAAAATTTCGAGTTATTGCAGAATTATTGAATACGGCTACATGTAGCCGTGGCTACAAATAAATAATTCCTATATATAATTAATATTAATAGAGTATTTTTACCACCGATGGCAATACCACCACCTCTTATTCTTTTTTTATTAAAATTAAAGGTTAGGGTGAATTTTAAACCAAGGTTAGGGTTAATATAAAGGCTCGAATTTTCGTCAGAATAGGTTCTTTAGGATCTGAACATTTTTACTTAGTATTCTTGATGTGATTAGCTAGTAGGTTTTTGAGATATAGAGTGATATAGTACTCCCGATGATATCGTCGCTGGCGGTAAATCGCAAATACTGTATTCAAAAAAAAAAAGTTCGTTATCAATTATAAAATTACTAATAAGAATTAAAACAGTAAATTTGAAAAAAATTAAGATTCAGCATATCCAGAATTCACTATAAAGCTCACTGAAAGAGTCGGCTGTAATTTAACATTTTATTTGCGAATTTATTCGTCGGGAGTTCATAAGGTTTTGTAAGATTAATATATGATGAGAAACCTTTATTCATTGTAGAAAATAGTCACATCCTATTAGACGTATTAATTACAGCTTATCATGTTTAGAACTTCAATTCATCTGCTACAACTTCAATTATGAAGAATCGGTATACGCAATATTGCCCTATAAAATTGTGACAAGCGTTTAAAATCTATATGCAACAAAATTTCACGGCAGATTCTCGATTTTGATTGGCAAAGAGCGACGATCAAAAAATTAGGCTGCAGTCATCTATTAAGTGAAAATTGTTTCTGGGCCAATTTTACCTTGGTCTAGGCTTATTTTTCTAAAATTTCTATTTTTGTAATTAAAAAATCAAAAAATTAATTCCGACTGGGAATTAGTAAATATTTTGTAATGTGGGCCAAAAAATTTACTGCAGCTATGGTCAATATTTGCGGATTTTATTATGTCGTATGCAACCTTTTTGAAAGTTTAAAGCTTTCCGCATATTAAACGAATTGAATTTTAAAACACTGATTGTGATTCGTTACTACGTAATATGTACAAACCATAACATTGTTGTACTGTTACGATAAATGCAAGAAATTTTCTATTGTGCAGCTAATTACGAATATAAAAAGCGGACAAACATTTGTGACGAACATTATATTATACAGTCATGCTCAATAAGTGCAACGCCGAAACAGCATCTAAATTCAGTTTTAAGTTCCTGACATCTCAAAAAAGGGTTTAAATTCTTTATGCAGAATAATTAAAATTTTTAATACTCATTTAAAAATAGATGTTCTAAATAGAAACACATTTCAAAATTAATTTTCTTAAAAATTGTTTATATTCTCTGAAGACACTGGAATTTTAAACCACTGCCCCTAAATGCACGCCCTATGAAAAGCCCCTAAAATGTGCGTTATCACTTGGCCAACTAATAGATTTCATGTATAAGTGTATTTCACACACGGTCCCATCGAAATGCATTTAGGGAGGTCATTTTTTTGTGTAAATTCAAAATTTATTGCGGAGGGCATTGTACAATATAGCGGTTTATTGTACGGATCTTATGTAACAGCCCGTGATTTTTTCATTAATATTTGGCACGGGATTTTACGTTAGACACTGTGCAATAAGACGGGCATATTGAATAACCCAGTTACACACGGGTTCTATTTAAATCCCGCGGCCAAAGGCTACGGAATATGAACCCGAATGTATAGGTAATTCACTACATACCCATACAATAACTAAAATATATAGTTATCTGGATAGCTTATATAAGTTTACCTTTATTAAAGAATTATTTGAAACTTTCTTAGGTATAGAGATCGATTTTTATTACCTACTCAATGTTTTGACATGAAATCAATCTTAAAGTATATTTTTAATTATGTTACATTGAAAAAATATTTTTGACTTAAAGTAAAAAGTTTGCCGCAATCAATTTTTTATTTTTTTTTTTAACTCGTATTTACATAAAAGGATTTTGGCATGATTCTGTTTTAAATGTTTTTAAGAATTGATATACAGTATATTAAAATATTTGAAAATAATGTATAAAATGCCAAAACCATTTAAATGATAGTAAATTATATAAGAGTGATATGCTATATACATATAGTCTTTACTGATCATTATATTGAAATCTGAAAATTTACTTTTAGTTTTATTAATAGATCTCACATAGCTTTTCTCTACATAGTTAAATGCTCGCAGGACAAAGTCTGCAGCATTGATATCTCTCAAAATTACACCGATCATACTACGTACGTACGTACATTAGTGTTTCGGGCGAAATTATTTTCCAAATCCGAAATATTTCGCCCAGAAGAATTTTAATTTCGCCCTATAAGTCCGAAACCCTCCGAAATTAGTTTCGCCCAATTTGATCTGCAAATGATCTGCAAATTCGGGTTTCGCCCGAAACACTAACGTACATACGTGTGTGCATAATTTAAAAAAATTTGATTTGGAGCTTAATTTTGGTCAGACGCAACCTCAGGCATGACATATATATAAAAGCAGAATTATATTAAAAATTACCAATGAAGCACCTAAAATCGAGTATATAGTAAAGTAGTACAGTGTAGTACAGTACAGAACTGCAAATTAGGACGGACGTACAGAAATCATGATTGTACGTACGGTTCGTAAAAGAAAAATTTTCAAACCAAATTACTTTTTTTACTTGTTAGACATCACTTTCAAATTTCCATCAATTAAAAATTGACGTAAGTAACGTTAAAATTGTAAAATATCGGTTCAATAATAATTTACGAATTAAAAAAAGAAAAAAAAAGACATACAAATTATATATTTATTATTAATTATGTCATTTACATTAACACTACACTACTGCACTAATGCATAAAATTTTGAAATATAACAGATAAAGAATACGACTCAACTACTTTGGAAAGTACGAAAAGCATTGTTTTTACAAGAAGGGTTTTATTTCATATTACAATGATTATCATTATTATTTTTTGCATTTTAATCAATTTCTTATTAGATGTTTCGTGTTTCATAAAATCTTCAATAGGATAATCACAGTATGTTTATCCAACTGAATATTCAACTCATCGATAATTCCAATTTTAACTAATTTAAAGGTATTAAGAACCTTGGTTTTTGTGAGTTATTAAAACTGCTAAACAGCGATCATATTTTGAATAATTAATTATATTTCTTTCATTTTTTTCGGCCATTCGACTATTCACATAGCTGTCAACAATTTATTCAAAGGGTTGAACCGAAAAAAAAGGGAGCGACCAACCCATTTTGCAAAGAATATAATAAAAAATCAATAAATTTTTTTTTTAAAAAATACATACTTTAGATTTATGTTTGTACGTTACATTTTAATCGGTATAAAATTTAAACTCACGTATGTCGATTATTATTTTTTGACGAAAATTTGAAAGTGATGTCTAATGTATTAACCGTACGTACGATTAAAATTTAGTATAATATTCGTACGTCTGTCTGAATCTATACTGCCGTACAGTACTACTTTACTGAATACCTCCTAAAATCCCAACCTTAACATATATGTTTGTAAACAGTAATAAATTTATTTTATTTTCATTATTCATATATTAGCTAAAGAAAAAATAAAATAAAAAAAAAATAAAAAAGACAATTGTTTTCGCTTTGGTGTGAAGATATTTGATATGTCTTCTAGCACAAGTTTTAATTCACTTTGTACGATGTTATTATTAAATTTCTAGAAAACATTTTTAGAAAACATTAGATATAATAATGTAAATATTTACTGTAGGTTAATAAATATTTATATTTATAAATATTTATATTAATACTTATATTATTAAATCGTTATTTAAAATGGCTCACCATTATAAGAAGGCGACTCTGATAATAAAATGTTTCAAAATCTTTAATAAAAAAATATTGACGAAGTTTAATGTTTTGTTACTCGAGACCTAATTAATTTTGATTCGAATTGAAATACGTAACAGTATTATGAAATAAATTTTGTACTAACGGAATATTGAATTTTGCTAAGGATCACATAATTACATAATATCAGGACATTCCAATGGGATGCTTTAAATAAATTATTATTAAAATTATGGCGTGAGGTTGTACTTTTTTCTCACAGAAACAATAGGTATGTAAAATGATGTTACAATATATATGTTACGACTAACATATATAATGCACATATAATGACATGATTCCGTTAAAAATTAGGCTTTGTTTGTAACACACTTTTTTGTCGCAAGTAGTACTGATAATGATAAATAGCTATGTTACTAAAAATCGATGCCTTAAAGATACCTGCAAAGGGTGAGGTACTTACATAGATGGAAATCGGCTTATAATTGCAACAATGTTAATGTAAATTCAAAAGTCAAATATTCGAGTACAATTTATAAAATGTCTCACAGACCAAAAATAAATTCTACGTATATAATGATTAATCGTAAATTTTTTTTGCTATCGCTCTAGTACGATAGCTCTAGTTGGATCTTTCTGCACAAAATTTAAATTTTATTTTTTTTTTACAAAAAAGAAAAATACATATTCGCTTGTCAATTTATTCATAAAAATGTCGAAAGAAAAATCTGAAGCAATTAAAAAAGGACACCCAGACTTTTATTCACCATATGATGATCATCCATCGTACTTGTTCGCATGGAAAAAGTCGGTACTTCCAAGAGTCATTCCTCAAGCACTTCTCATCACTGCTTTTTCGGTATTGATTGTCGGACTTTGGAAGTTTACAATTCTCAGACTTGGAATTAAGTCGAATTTTATTACCATAATTGCTTTTGTCGTGTCTCTTTTGCTTGCCTATAGGACCAATACTGCCTATGATAGGTATTAATTACTATATTATTATGTTACTATATTAATATTACGTATTGTTAGATATGATAAAAATTAGAATTTTTTAGGTTATCTTTTTTGATGTTTTTTGATGTATTACCGTATGTCACCGAATAAAAGCAACCAGAAGCTCAATAATTGCTGGTCATCAAAAAGGATGATTGCTTTTATTCTTATTATTAAAAACATAATACTTTCTGACAAAGTTATTTACATATTTATAAATGGTTCAAAAATTGAATTGCTTCTAATCGGTAATATACGGTATAATTGATATTATTGTAATAATCATATTACTATTATTATTCTTATTAATTTTTTGCATAATTAAAATATTCGATGCTAAGTTATTGTTTTTGTACTTAAAGGTACTGGGAAGGAAGACGTCTATGGTCAACAATGCTACTTGCAATCCGAAACTTATCCCGATTTGTTTGGGTAAATGTTCCAAATATGAACAAAGATGAAATAGACTCCGAAAAACTTGTCATTTTTGACCTTTTGGCAGGATTCGCACTTGCTACCAAACATTATCTTCGAGAAGAAGATGGTACAAATGCTATAAAGGTCAATTTAGATATGAAACCATTAGAGACTAAAGAAGGTGCAGATAGTAAATCTAGACTCAACAAAATTTTAAAGCTTCTCCTAACATATAGATCAAAGTCATCACCGGAAAGAGGACTAAACGAGCCTGAAAAGGTTGTTAATCATAATTTGCCACTTGAGATTACATTGTACTTGAATCATTACATCAGTCAATTGAAAAGAAGGGAGATCCAAGACTTAAGACCAGATGATCCGTCGATCACTCAAATGTACGCAAACGTAAGCATACTTGTAGACTGTTTAACAAACTTAGAGAGAGTTCTTAGATCTCCAATTCCTTTTGCATACGCAATTCACCTTTCACAAACAACTTGGATATTTTGTTTGTCTCTTCCGTTTCAATTAGTTGGAGACCTTGAATGGGTTACTGTGCCTATAGTATTTTTAGCCTCACTCATCTTACTAGGAGTCGAAGAGATTGCAAATGAGATTGAAAACCCGTTTGGTACAGATCCGAATGACTTAAAACTTGACCAATTCTGCGATCTTCTTGGTATGGAGTTAGACTTTGTTGGGTCACATAAAAAAATAAAAAGTCAGTGGGAAGAGACAGCAAAGAAAGCAAAGACTTCAGAATTTAATGAATCTAATGAATTAGATATTAGGAAAGAATCTAAGGAGGAAATTTCTATCGTAACTGAGAAGTAAATTTGAATTTATGAACGTAGTAATGTGTTAATTTGTTATTATGTTACCTAGTTAATAAATAAACATTGATCTACAGTATTATAAAGCATTTTATTATAAAAAAAATGAAGTAAAAATTTTATAGTTCTTTATCTCACAAAATATACTCTTAAAAGTCAAGCTAGCGCTATAAATAATTGAAATTCATGAAGTAAATATTAAAGAAATTCGAAGTATTATGTTCGATATACTGTACTATATAACCATCCTGCTATCGTAGCGAAATATATATTCATGATAATTTGCTGGAAAATGGTATAATTCTCATGTTGCTACTAAATTTTATATTAACTTTAATACTGTATGTTATCGCTAGAAATTCAAATTTTAACGTTTTCCACAGCCAATTACTTATTTAGAAGTCATAAGAAAAAAGGTTTAGTATTATTTATTTCCTGGGGAGTAGAAATTATAGCAGAGGTTACCGATGATTATAGCACATGGATGGCCCTTCGGGCCATCCACGTACTATGATCATCGGTAACCTCTGCTATAATTTTCCCCCAGGAAATAAATAAATAATCCCCAGGAGCGTGTCACTCGGACTACCATACTATTATTTTTACACGTATTCCATATTTATATTTATATTGTGTTTTACTGACTTTTGGGCTTCGCTTTATTTTTTTTATTTACATCATTTTTACTTTTTTACTTTTTTTATCGACTTTGCTTTTTACTTCTACGTTTAAATTTTTTCAAGCTCTTAATTTCGCTTATCGTGTCTTTTTTTAGCTTCATTTACTGTGCTTATTTGCTTTGACTTTTAAGTTCTTTATATAAAACGTGAAACATACAACAAAGAAAATTCTTCAAATAAAAATTAAGCGCAAAAAATTAGAGTTTCCCGATGATCAATATGAGACCGGGAATCTTTCATGGGAAGATTCCCAGTCACAATATGATTATTATAAATATGGTTAATCACGTGTAAAAAAATAATAATGAAGGTACAGTAGTCATGAGCTACACGTAATGCAACAGAGGATTACTACCACCATTAATAAATTGTTTTATCACTACTAAGGCATGCTGTAGATCTTTCCGGTATCAGACATAGATCGTCTTGGTTATTGGCTCTGAGTTGACTCGTGATCTGCCATATTTCCTTTTTGGTTAAAACGGAAAGGATTTATATTACTGTATTATCTTATTATACAGGTAAGAACGTTGATGTTATACGACTGATTTTTCACACGGTGTGCAACCAGTGTTTAAAATTCAAGGTAAAAATTACGTGCATAAATGTATTTTGTGCATCTCTTTTCATCTTTTTTGGAAAATTTTATGTGCACACTTAATAAATTTTTTAAAAATTCATAAAAACTCGTGCACATGTGCATTTTATGCATGCCAATTTTAAACACTATGTGCAACATATAAAAAAATAATTTTACAATACCAGATCATTCTGCTAGTACATGTTATGATTATAATCCAACACCATTTTTATTAGTAAAAATGGTGTTGGATTATAATCATAACAGGAATGATCTGGTATTGTAAAACTATTTTTTTATATGTTGCACACCGTGTGAAAAATCAGTCATATAACATCAACGTTCTTACCTGTACTTATATTATCATTATATATATCTAATATATATATCTAATATATGATATAGATATAGATACGTATAGCCCCCAAAATTTTTTATTGTTGTGATACCGGAAACGTGACCTGGAGCAGGCACGTGCCCCTGTGATTTCGCGCATAGAAGAAACTCGCTCCCAGCACTTTCTGAACACATATGTTACACAATTATTTATACAGACAATGAATTACATTGTACTCTAAAATTAAAAACCACGATTGAAACCACTTAACCTGATAATTGAACCTAACATTATTAATAAATATAATCGTTATAGGTGTTACTAAAAGAATATCTTTTTCAATCGCTTTCATACGTTTTCCTCAAAATGTTTTCATAAGAGCGAAGTTAAACACATAGTAAATTATAGCAATACAATCATCCTATGGCTGATTTTGATTGGATGATCACAACAAAAAACATATCTGTATTTTCTCGTGAAATATGAATTTCTTCTATGCTGTGATTTTGGGTATTTCCAAATATAGGCCTCCCGATCCAATTTTCCCGAAATCCCAATCAGTGCGATTTCTCTGATAACCCAGATCTAGGAAATTGGAGGGATTTGGATAATATATAGTTATTGAATGCGAAGTAGCCAATAACGAGAATTATTTATAAAATAATTCATTAGGAGTTATTGGCTAGCATAGCGTACAATAACAGTTTTATCCAGTATCCTATAATGATTGTGCTTCTAAATGACTCGTGTTTTGGTATTAATTACATAAACTGCTAATTAACAAAGTTATTTGGCAGATGACATATCACTGCCAAATAACTTGAGTTATTTTGGCAGCACAATCATAATAGGCTGCCGGATAATAAGGATAATTTCAGTAATATGGTAGATATTAATAATACCGGCTATAAGGCTAATTGTGGGTTTATTAGTGATATTGGTAATATAGATGATTCTTGCAATGTAAATAGTAAAGTTCACAATTATAAATAAAAGCCTTCTGGCCCTTCAAAAAGAGAACAACTCCCATTTTACCTAAATAATAAAACATTTAAGTTATATAAACATACCCTACCAACTATATACATCTTTCATTAGCCACTTATTCAAATCCAACATGCCTCTTTCATAATTCATCCCAGTATTCTGTAGGTCAGTTACCCGATACCTGTGGAATGATTAACTGACTAACTTTTCCATGTTCTCATCATATTTAGGTTGTATTTATAAGATTTTTAAGTTCACTAACTTTTGATTCTATAGTTAGATTTATGCATTATAGCATTACTGCATAAACTTTATTTTAAAATAAAAACATATATGATTTTAAGTTAATAAAAATTCTCAGATCATTTCTGATTATAGCTATGCTTCCATAATTAGATAATACAAACACTCTTATTGTTTACTAAATATTAAAATATATATTAAACTTTATATTTTGTTGATATTTTTTTTCTAGCATATTCTGTACTCATTTTGCTTTAATTTCTTATAGTGCTTGTTGTTTGCTGTTTCTATTATAATTTTCATCATTCTTGAAATCATTTTCAAAATCATATTTTGGAATCTATATGATTTTTGGTACAATTGACTTGGTTGTGTCATCGTTCATAATCAGAACCTAACTATAACATAAAGTCCTTATACTGCTATTATTTTTGCAGTGCTTAATCACCAAAAATGAGGTTTTTATGCTATTTATAGTAGCAATAGAGCCTAAACACTATATGAAGTTCGTGCATTGTTACCACAGCTATGAGTTTAATTACAATATAATGTTTTTGTACTGCTATCATAATTGCAGACTTGATTGCCAAACATAAGGTTCTTGCATTGCCTGTGGCAACCATAAAACAAAATTACAATATGAGATTCTTGTATTTAGAGCTGTGAATCAATTCTATAATAATCATTTTAATCAGTAATGAATTAGAATCGATTCTTATTTCTATATAATTGTTTTAATCATTTTTACAAACGATTAAATATTTTGAAATCGATTTTAAGATTTAGAATCAATTCTAAATATATAATTGTTTTATATTAAACATTTAAATGCCTAAATTTTCAATAAATATTCTCTTGTTTTTAGATGCATGTATAAAAAAATATAAAGCTGTGTTTATTATTTAAAACAATGGGCTTAAGGTTTAAAAACAGAATATGCCTTATAATTTTTAATAAGTTATAATGATGTGATTTCTGATAGCTATAGAGGCTTTGAAAAATAACAGTTTGAAAATCTATAAATTATGTAGCATTAAATTAATAGAAGAAAGCTAAATAATAACAAACATAACTATTTATATTTTTTTATATACTCATTTGAAGACAGAATATTGAAATGTAGCAATAACATTAAATTTGAATAAATATTATAAAATGGCTTAGTATATATAATAGGCTTAAAAGTTTAACAACTTAATGTTTCTTATAATTTTTAATAATATAGTCATTATGTTTCTTATATGTCTGAAAGCAAAAAACAATTATTAAAATTTTATAATAGTTCTTAAATAAGTATAAACTTTATTTTTTAATTATAAAATATTTACAATTTAAAAATTATTAATAAATTTTACTTTTATAGATTTGAAATAATTTGATTTTAGAACAGAGTTTTTTTGGTATTTTCTTTTTTCTTCGCAATTTTTTAATTTATATATTATTGCTTATATTTATTACTTTTTATATATTAAATAAAACTTAAATTATATTATTTATAAATATATATAATTAAATAATCTATAGCATTTAGCAATACAAAACAGATTAAAGCTTAGTCTGGCAAATCAAACCAAAAAATAACAATATATTTAAGATTTGATTATTGATTCTAAAATGATTCGATTATTGATTCTAATTTTTAGAATTGATTCACAGCCCTATTTGTATTGCTATTACATCCACAGTGTCTAATCATGATGTAACTGCTATTGTTGCAGAGCTTACTATATAACTACAAAATAACATGCAGGGATGTTATTTTGAATTTTGGCCTAATTTACCAAAAACTAAGATTATACCCTATGTATTATTATATTGCAGTTATATGAAGTCTTTGTCTTAATAATAACCTTATAGCACTATGTAGATTTTATAAATAAATATCAAAATTTTTAGCCAATCAGCAATCTAATTCAAATTAACTTTTTTTTTAATTTGTAAAACTTAGTGAGTTCTACAAAAAAAAAAAAAAATTATTTGAGTTAGATTTTTGGATAGCTAGAAATTTTAACTTTTATTTGTAAAATCTACATAGACTACTGTCAATAGAAATCAAGCAAATCTATATTTAAAAAAAAAATTATCACATAACTTTCATAGCTCATATCTTAATGAATTTTAAAGCTATCTTAATGATTTAGTATTCAAAAGAAAGCTTACTATCTAATCTTTTT